TATATCTAGTAAGAACTAGAACATTCGCCAAAGTGCAGGATAATTCTAGAAAGTAGAGAGCGTGAGAATCACATGATCTCGATGACGCAACAGTATCCTGTTTAATGAACCTTTGCTAAAATTGCAAAGGATGGTTTTAATTTCGATTTAAATCATTGTTAATGTGTTATATTTTTCTAGTTTAGAATAAATCGTTGTTAAAAGGTTTGTGACGTCCGTGTAGCGTTTATGTGTTTTTAGGATTAAAATGCTCATTGACCATGTCGCGAGTTTAAAGTTTATTTGTTTTAAAGTTGAATTTAATTGTTGGCGAGAGAACAAACATGAGACAGGAAAGAGAGGAAAAGTGTGATATGCAGGCATATTCTATACGTTCTACTTGCTTTAGTTATTTAGGATTTTGTAAAATGTTTGGTTTATTCAGTTTGTACATTGTTATTATTTTTCTTAGTGCTGTGACGTATCTGCTTATTTGTTTGTTTCCGGTAGAAATTCTTTCCGAGGATCTTCAGCGATACAAGTCTTTTCTTGATTAAACCAGTTTATTCTTCCTCGATAAAAACTTTAATACACAGTTGTTCCACAATCAGTACGTTTCTTGTCACTTTAAACTTAACAACTTTTATAATACACGCTATAAATCACAGCGATTAACAATCTCGATAACTTCACTCTCGACAAGTACAAAGCACACACTTTATTCCCCCTGCTTGCTTTCCTTGCCAGGCTTATATACTAAAGAAGAGGGCATCTCGAACAAACTCGGACTTCCCCGATAAATCGAGAAACTTCACGCACGCTACCTGCACCAGCAGCGTCACGTGACTTCCACTGTCATAACAGTGCAAAGCTAAATAATGGACTATCTGCACTCCATTCACTATGTAGGATCGAACCTCGTATTTTAGCATTGCAACTCTGAACATTTACCGCTGATCTACTGGCGAACAAGTTAATTTACATGCAGTTTTAACATAGACACATTATCCAGCAAATTGTTGAGATTGCCTTATTCCCTAAAGTAGATAATGTCTAATCTGTCAAACATGATATTACATCCAGTTTGTAAATATTAATGACTTTGGTATCTTTTGCTGTCCGATTTGACGTTTTTTGAACTTTATATCTGACTAATGCTGTGAGAGAACAAAGGTCTGAGATGATGCTGTCAGTGGACAAAGACACTGAGTTTACACGTTGAATTCAAGTGCATTTTCTTAGTTCATTTCTACCCGGAGTTCTTTGAGCAAAGACATTCTTTAAGGTCATCATGTTTAATTCGACAGAAATTCATCCCAAGAGAAATAGAACTGTATAGCTAATCAAAATCCATTAGAGAGGATTATACTTTCATGAGCACCAGTATGCACGCTGTGCTTTCTTTATGACAAATATTGAACTCATTTTGTGAAACTTGTTAAATCTAATTATTCACCACAAACTAGGATAATTCAGTCAAGTTATTAAATTTAGATTATTATCCTTGTGTCCTGCTGCTGTTACTGGGTCTATCTATCTATATATACATTACTTGTCGGAACTCACCTTCTATCTGAAAATAACACACTGAGACTTTTAAGTTAAACACTCTTTCAGCCAGAATCAATATTCGTGCCAGCATTACAGTATATATCACTACACACTCAAACCAACGTAGATTAAATAACACATTTACTGTTCTAGACGGCCATTAGCACCAGTAGTTGAACTAGCAAGATACTGTATCACCATACAAAAGTCAATCTATTCTCTCCAGTTAGTGCCACAGAAAAATAAATACGTCGAAAATCATCCAAGTAAATAATTTTTCCTTACTCTAACTGGCTAGGAGCCAGTTGAACTCATCTAGTATGAAATGCATTTTCTTGCAGGAAAGATAGTCGTGACTTCAGTCATGATGTCCCCCAAAGAATAGCTACTTTCTCTGTCATGTAATGGCCTGGGACATTACTGCCCCTGTAATAGAGAGAGTGGGCTGGAGTTAAGTGAGAAATGTGCATGTTATGAGCAGCCTGTCTTTGTTCATCTTAAAGTTTTGGTATATAAAGGCTAAGCTCTCTCCTCTTAAGCAAGTTATTTTTATTCAGGTAGATTTAACTTTAGATTTTTATTGTTAAAGTTTTCTGGAGCTTTCGCTTAACAATCATTGTTCAATTTTAATTTAACTTAAAAGATAACTTATGAAAAAAGGAGGTTGTATTATGAATATACAACAGATCTAACACTCTTATAGTATATATTTCTTATGCAATGTGATTATAAAGTAGGTTGCACAGTTCAATGTGTGATATCACACAAATGGTATGACATAACAATGTGATATCGCTGTTCAGGTTATCAATTGGAAACACTATGACCTAATGTCTGATGAATAACAACTATTAAAATGTATTCTCTAGCATCCAGATTGCATCACATCTGTGTAACGATGGATATCACAGCAACAGCTTACATCTGTCCTGGTGTGCTGACCACTTTACAGACAATTGCATCTCTGTGGTCTGGAATTTTATAAAACTTCCCATGGTATATGCATGACTTCAGGTACCTCCACAAACAGAAATCGATTGGTGTCATGTCCGATGAACAAGGTGGCTCTTCATCAGGAAAGTGATGTGAATTGATTCTTTCCTGAAAGTGCGCTCACAAGACATATTTCACCAAGTTACCAATATGAAAAAGGGTACCATCCTGCATAAAAACTGTAGTGTCTGTCACATTTCATTGCTACAGCAAGGGAATCACATTGGTTGTGAGAACTGCATGGTATCATGTATATATTCTGATGGTTCTTCAAAAAAATATGGTTCAATAACAAAGATAGCTATGAAACCACAACGCACTGTTACCTTAACATAGAGGTGTGTGTGTGTGGAAGACTTTACACATAAATTAGTTTATGACCAGATAATGCAGTAGCATGTGCTGACACTTCTAGAAAGAAAGAAATGTGCTTTATCAGTCCATAAGATATTAGTATACCATTGATCATTGACTTCTAGTCTTGACCAAAAACTGCAATGTAAAACGAACACATCCAATTAAATCCATCTCTTCAGTGCTTGAAAATGAAGTTTATAAGGAAATATTTGCAAAGAAAATAATGACCTGTGTCTCCAGAGTGTACCATGAACTTCATCAGGAGATATCTATAACCTAGAAGTTTGCTAATCAAACCGATCCATTCTGCAGATAACGACTGTCTAGCAATAAACTCCAGGTTTCATTAAACAAAGTTAAGAATAAACATTTGCAAAACTAATTGAAGAGCCTTACAAAAAGTTGAAATTTGATAATCAAAACACTGGGCAACATTATTGTGCACTGCTACACCCATGTGCACTTGTGTTGCTATGGCATAGCTGACCTCAGCAATAATTTCAGTAGGTATCAGTGGTCTGCCTTTATGCGAGTAACACAAGTGCAACGTGTCTCCTCAAATTATTTTATCAATTTGTGCACAAGAACTCTAGAACAAAACTTCTTTGGATGTTATGGATTCTACAATATTCCCCAAGAGCTGCCTCAATATTACATCCTTTGTGTAATAACTTTACTAGTTCATATATCTGTACACTTGTCAGTTTCACATTGGTTCTATAAGCTACACTGCAATGGACAGGCCCATTTATACCCATGGGAAATATGCAAAAAACCAATGGCAACATGTGACAATTATGATCTTTGCATCCACATGATACCCATAATACCCCTGTGCAATTTCACCTTTCTATGCCATACAGTTTGTGAGACATTTGCTGAGCTATGAAACTCTTTCTTCATGATTATCTGTGTACAAAGTTTTCAATTTTTCTAATTTCTAATTTGAAGCACCTTGTATTTGTGTGTATATCTTAAGTTTATTTATAAGCCCAGTTCTTACTTTTTCAGTCTGTTTTTTAATCACATACAGTTCATTTTATTTTACCCAACTTAACACAACACTATAACTCGATGACCAGCCAACCTGTAATTCATCCTTTTTTGTTAAAAAACTATTTTTTGTCTGCCTTTGCAAGTCTTGTTTTTGTCATTCTATGTATTAGCTCCTTGAATCTAATTATTGTGAAGATCAAGTAACTCTGTGCTATGGTTATCCTTGATATTAACACACAAACACTAACATTTTTATTCTCACAGGTCAACTTGTTTTGATGTGTTAACTATTGGATCTAAACAAGTGCACTAGATAAGAATAAAGTTCTAAAGAGCACTAACAATTCTCACATGATCCTTATAAAACGAATCATCACGTTGAAAAATACCAAGTCCAGTAGCTTACACTATTTTATGCACTTTGTAACAAGTCTAAGAAAACTGTTTTCTTCTGTTGGATACTGGTTATATAAATTTGTCCAAAAGGATGGTATCTCAGTTTTTACACCCAGTTTGTGATGCAGGGTTCTAAATCTTTTATCCACAACAGCCATGTCATATAGTTGTATCCAGATGCGAATGTTTTCAACATAAGTTTTGAATATGCAATGAATATTGTTGCACCATTATTTTGAGCATCAGCAACATACGAACCAACAGTAGATATAAGCACTTTGATTGATGTGAACATTTCTATTCTATTAAATATAAAATATGAGTGAGCAATTATGGAAGGGAAAAAAATTGCATGGAAATACGTCCGATTATCGTTTTTTTTCATAATCTAAACAAGCTTTTGGGTGCATGCTGCACCCTTCTTCCTAAGTCTTGAATGACAGTAAAATTAGATTAAAATTTTGATAGAAAATATCCAAAAACTGCTGTACATTAAAAAAAAATTGTACTTTGGCTACAAATAATTTTGAGTCAATTCCATAATTTGATAATAATTCAATCTGTGGTCGTTATCACAGTTGTCTTTAGATATTTTGACACAGTTTTCTGAATTATGGTATAATAATTTTTACAATCAGAAATTTATGAGGTTTAAAGATGAACATTGATTTAATATCATACTTAGATACAAAAATAAGAATATTATGGTATAATGGTACAAAGTTATATAATAAAGATAAAACAATATATATGAAACAGTTTGAGTACAAGACTATAATCCATGACACACTGCTGTAAACATGCAAGAAAATAACAAATCATAACGTCAAACAAAAAATATATATTTCCAATAACTAAAACAACTATTAAAACAAGAAATATGCATGATAAAATTAAAATTACTTTAAACAGAGAATGAAAATAATTTTAGTTGTAATCTAATCTATTACAACAGGAAACAGATTTTATTTGAACACAAATTCAGGAGAAAGTCAACAAACCTATACTTTTACCAAGATAAACAAGAACTGATATGAAAATAATACTAAATATGAGAAAAACAGTCAGATTTTGATGAAACAAAAGTATGAATAATTTAGAAAACAGCAATAAATTTAAATCTAAGAAAAAAATAATTCTAAAGGACACATGCATTACACGGTAATGTGTTTTATTCGGCCATACAACATACTTTTAAGGTAAAGCTAAATGACTTGTGAATCTATAGAACATAAAACTAAATGTCTTAAGTAACGCTATTTAGATTAAAATAAAAATAGATGTAAGCTTGCCAGTATTTTATTGACTAAGTATTAATTTGGATAATAAGACTATCAACTGAAAATAAGTTAAGAAAATGACAATTTCTAAAGATACTAATCAACTGTTTCAGTTTAGTTACAATATCTTATCTCAGAAACGATTTGGAAAATGAAAAGTTTTATCTCAAACCATAAATTTATATAGCTAGTACTCAACTAAATAGAGGATAAAACAATTATAATGAAATTCATTCCAATTACACTGTTACACAAAATGCAAATAGAGTTGAACAAAATGCTAATAATTTAGTTGTGGATATTAAACATTATATACAAGATGTCACTGAGACATTCACTTTTGAGAACTTTAGAATGAAGCAAATGTACACATTTTAAACCTTGTGAACTTATGACATATACCTAATTCCATACTAAGTTTACACAAAAGTCTTGAGAGACTATTATATTTATCAAAAATATATTTATGAAATGAGAATAGCTGTTTTATTAGAAAAGTGACATGAAAAATTATGCATAATGTTATGATATCAAATAGTTACCTGGAAAATTAATATCACTGCTGAAATATTGGAATTATAAGAACATTTAAACTGAAAATCATACTTCATTACAAAATTAAGTATTGTGTACTAGAACACATTGACATACAGCTACAACATCGGACTCTTTACTTCTTTCATAGAAGCACTTGAATCTAGCTTGAGACCAATATCCTGGATTCGTTTCCAAGTAGTTACACCATCTTCTAATGTAAAATAGTTTGGTTTTGGCTGTAGTATTTCCGTATTTGCTTGTTTTCCTTTTCCAGAATTGTCTGTTTGACATACAGAAGTTAATGATATGTTACTGCTGTTATTATGCCAAAGAAATGATTCGTCAGTAGCAACATGCTGACTTAAATCCCTAGTTTCATGACGTGAAGAAATATTAAGCTTGGTAAAAGCTGTAGTTTGAGGTACATGTATTTGTAAGTTTGTGGGAGGTAAACGGAATTGCTGTCTGAGTATGGGTTTCAACTTATTCATAGGATGTGGAAGAATAACCTCACTATCAGAATGAGATGGCAGCTGAATGGAAGAGTACGAAGTGATAAAGTCTCTGGCATGGTCACTAAATCTGTGGACTGGAAGCTGAATTTCATTATTTGTAATATGTGCTTTAATATGGGGAAGATCAAACTCCTGAAAAGACAAAGAGGTTTCAAAGGAAGAAGAAACATCACCATCATATGACAAGCCACTAAAAGAGTCATGATCATCCACTGTAGAAATATGTTCACTTTCATTTTCTTCTTCTTGGCAGCTTGACAAGTGTTCCTGATTCCTTTGAAAAAAAAAAAAGAGTAAATATTACACACTGCAAACTTTTATCAAACAAGACGCATATCAAAATTAACATAAGATTAGTTTACCAGGAATGTAAGTATTCCTACACAGAACTAAGATGAGTATACATTTCTAGAGAATTAGTAACTAACCATGGGATGGACGTTTTTGATACAATGCAAGCACTAACATTACACCTGCATGTAAAACTTGAAGGATTAAATCTTCTATAAGTTGAAAGAAGTTGTTTATTTTTTTAATAGAAACGTTTTCAAAGTAATCAAGAATTCACATGTGAGTTCAGGATATCAATATTATCTTACTTGCAAGATTTCAGCACTCTTCTTTGTACATGTCTTTATCATATTCAGAATCTATGAATCTTCAGTTAACATCAAAAACTAAGTGTCATGTTATTTATAATATTATACACATGATTTACAAAAATACTGTTGATATATTAAAGAAACTCCTACCTAAGTACATGAAAAGATCAAAAATGAAACTAACGCCAAAAACCAATGTAAAATAAAAATACACATACTGTACATAATCTTAAAACTTAAGAAGGAAAATACACTTCAAGGAAACTAAGTTTTTGCAGTGCAATTAAACAAGCTGATCTTGTTTACGAATTATATAAATAGATTTTTGGAAAGATCCATTTTTCTACTTCACAGTTGAAAAGGTCAAGTATGTCTGTAGTAGTTTCTCCCAGGTTCTTTTATGCCATTTTTCATATGGTCATGGTCATTGTAATATATCAGTTTAGTACAGAACTGATTGAGTTTATGACAAAGTGTAAAACTTAATTTAAAAACACTTTGAGGGTATTTTTTCAAGAAATTCTATGCAGTCATTCTCCAAATTCTTCACAGTATGAGAAGACAACATTGATAAAAGGTGCACTGCTAAGACAAATATTTTTATTGCAAACCAATCATCTCTTGTATAGGTATTACAGGACACTTCATTTGAACTAGTGTCACAGTGGCTACATTAAGGATTTTTTTATCATCTCTTGTATTTCAGTTGTATCACTGTGCTGAGAAAGACTGCATGTTATGGATTTTGCAAAACTTCATGAACAAATAACCAATTTTGAGTTTAAGATGTGTATCACAATTCAATACAAACTAAAGTTAGGCAACGTTAGCATGTCTGTATCACAACTTGTTTCCTATATATTGTTACGACAGAGGAAGTCACGTGACGCTAATAACACGTCATGAGCTTCTAGAAAATTCATGCCCCTTCGTGAAGCCTCGAGTGTTTGCTAGATTTTTGGTATTCTTGTATATAAGACCACCAAGAAGTGATGGCAACAATGTAATT